CTTATTTCAGCCTGAGTGTTCTTCACTATTTAGGTTTTCTGAATTCATTCAGAAGTTTATCCCTATCTTCCTTCAGTTCTTTGATTTCTTAGTTTGTGTGTTCTTTAAATTCACTGAATTCTTTTATCATGTATATAATTTTTCTTTTGAATTATATGTCCTATGTTATCTCTAGGGGGTTCTCATTGTTCTCCTCTACAGGACTGTTGGTATTTTGTGGGGATCTATCATTTGAGTTTTTCATATTATTATTTTTTCACTGTGACTTTGACATGTGGATTTCTTTTGTAGTTTCTAATTCTTGTGTGAGACTCAAACCTTCAAGTTTAGGTCTGCTTCTGTTTGCGACCTTTATGTGCCTTTGGGGTTTACTTGTTGGGCATGAAAAGCTCATTGGTCTGGGCTTCAGGCTCTCTCTTTTGATTTTATATTGGAGGGCCAGATGGCTTTCATCCTGCTGTTCAAGAATTCCCACAGAGGCCCAAGTTTGATGAGGATCAGATGCTCTCAGTCTTTCTCCTAAGGTCTGGATCTCTCTAGTCAGCAGACACAGTGCAATTTGGGAAGACTGCTAGGTAGAGGTAGGATTCAGGACTCTCAGGAAGTCAGGGAAGGAGGCTGGTCTCAGGAATCCAGGTTGGGGATGGGACAGCCAGGGATGAAGGCTGGTCTCAGGTATGCAAAGGCAAGGTGGTAGAGAGAACAGGCTTTGAGGGCTCCAGGGAACTAGACTAAGGATTTGGGTTGGTCTGGGTGCAAAGGATCAGGAAGTAGTGGAGAGTCTGGGCGAAGAGGGTAGTCCAGAGGCCTGGGGAGCCGAAAGAAGAAATGGGCTAGTGCTCCTGCTAAGGGGAGAGACAGGGTGGGGGAGCTAGGAGGGTGAATGAGGTTGTGGGAATTAACTTGATGTATGTTCTTAGAGTAAGCCTTGATAGAAAATTACTAAAGAGAGAGGTGCCTATAGGGATGGGATGTCCACTGAAAACTGTCTCTGTTATTTCACAGACCAGCTCCTCACTGACATAATGAGCTGTATGCAGAGAGCGGATGCTCCCCTCCCATGATGGGGCAGCCCTTGCTTTTCAGTTCTCCTTATAGTCTACTATCTACAAGGATTTCCTTTCCCATCTCATACTCCAGGGTCTGCTAAGCTGAGTCTGTTATGTTGAAAGAAAAAGAGAACACAATCTTCATAGCTGGGGAACAGGTCAGGCCTGCTATGCCCTTCCAGTCTCCCCCGCCCCCGTTTAGTCCTGCTGTCACAACCTGCTCTGTCCCTCATCACTTTCCCTTTAAATCTTCTGGCACTTTCCCAAATTCCTCTGGATGGGCCCTTCTCAGATCATCTGGTGCCTGCTGTTTAAGCATCCTGAGCCTCACTGGCCACATACAGACTTTTCAATAGTTCCCTACCATTCTACATGAATCCTAAACAAGCTTTGATATCTGATGTCCTGCCTGGTGGTCCTCAAGTCTCTTTCCTGGCTCTATTCCCCACCCCTTCTGAATGCCATGTGGTGCTCTCTGCCCTAAGCTTTGTGAGTCAGCCTAATTTGAAGTGAGCGCCGAGTGCCGCCTTCCTGTCCTGTCCTGTACCTGCCGGGATGTCCTGCCACAGACCTCCACTTCCAAATGCTGTGCCGGCGTCCTCCTCGACAGTGAACTGTCCCATGAGCCCAAGAAATGCAGACCCTGCTTCTCACCTCTCACAACCACCTTTCACTGACTCCACCCAATCACTTCATGCTGTGTCTGTTTATGCTTCAACAACCCAAGTCGGGACACAGAGAGGTCAGCCTGTGACCAAGGCACCGCTTCTCAGCACTCAGATTCTTGGAAGAGACGTGAATTCACATACCACATCTTGTGCACTGGGGACACACCGTAAAGGAAGAACGCACCTTTTCACCCTTTTCTCCTTGGACAGAAGGTCCTCTCCCCTAGAGAAGAAAAACAAAAGACACAGGTTCTGAGGGGTGTCTACATGGGCATCACCCCAAGACTCAAACAACTGTATTCTTAGCTCTGACTGGAGCCTCTGACAGAGAGGGAACTGTCATCGTTGAGTGTGGATTCTCATGCATGTCCTCTCGTTTAATTTTTCCAATAATTCAACATTATGAATACTATTTCTTGTTTCCATATGAGCTTTATTAGAATATTTATAATTCACCTAAAGTGTCTACTTCAATAATCTTGGTGTATGTACAGAGTTGTGCAATGTTAATCACAAGTAACTTCAGAACATTGCCATCCATGCAAAGAACCCACATCCGTTAGCAGTTGCCCCTTTTCCCATCCCCAGCTCTAAGCAAACACTAACTTATTTTCTACCCTTATAAATTTACCTGTTCTAGCCATTTTATGTAAGTATGACACACAATAATGTGCCCATCAATGACTGCCTCCTCTCACTTAGCAAAGTCTTTGAAACGTTGGCCCATGTTGCGTCCTATAGCAGAATTTCACTTTGTTGCAGATTAAAATGGGGAGATGTGGATGCTGCACACCTTACTCGTCCACTCTTTTTAAATTTTATTTTTTATTTTTATTTTATGTATATGAGTGTATTGCCTGCATGTAGGTAAGTGAACCCGTGTCATGCAATGCCCACGGAGGACAGAAGAGGCCATCAGATACCCTAGAACTGGAGTTATGGACAGTTGTTAGCTATCATGTGGGTACTGGGATTCGAACCCTGGTCTTCTGCAAGAACAGTCAATGTTCTTAACCACTGAGCCATCATACTCATCCATTCTTTATACAATGGTTCAGTTGTTTCGACTTAGGGCTATTAAAAGTAGTGCTCTAAACATTTGTGTTTAGGTTTCTGTGTAAATGTATGCTTGCATTACTTTGGAGAGTGGGATTGAATTTCTGATCATGTGGTAACTCCACATTTAGACATTTAAGAACTGCAAGACAAAGACTGTTTTCCCCAGAAGCCTCACTGTTCCCCACCAGCAGTGTGGGAAGGCTCTGTTTTGCTACATCACTGGATGTTCTGGCTTCATTGGGAGAGAGGTACTCAAGACGGTAATCACTGCTGCTGAGTTGTTCATTTCTCCTCTAAAGTCTGTAAGTTGTGTGCCATGCATTGTGAGGCACTGTTGTTGGATGCTTATGTTTATTGTTATATATTTTAAAGGACTGACCCTTTTATCATTATAAAATATCTCTATCTTGTTTTTTCTCTGAAGTCCGTATGCTCTGACAATAGTGTAATCTGTATAATTTTTGTTTTCTGCTTTCATAAACATATTTTCAGTCATTCCCCTCTCTGTCTCTCTGTCTGTCTCTCTCTGTCTCTCTGTCTCTCTCTGTCTCTCTGTCTCTCTGTCTCTCTCTC